TTACTCAGCAGCGACGGGCAACGCACAGTGCACACTCCTCGGATGCTCCGACGTGGTTGCCAATGGACAGCCTAGGGAGGTATTCTTCCAGATGGGTTTGTAATCGAACCTCCCGCATCTGGCAAACTTCGGGCCCTTGAAAATGTGAATGTCTAGCATGTCGCTGCCTCTAGTTGACGCGCCTTCTACTTTGCAGTCGAAGCACGTTTGGAGACATCTGGACCCGCTCCAAATCCAATCAGCGCATGTCCAGAAAGTCTCCATACACGTGTCGATGAACATCAACATGTCCTCTATATACCTGACATATTGGTGTATAATTTTTTCTCTGAGCCATGATTTGTTGCCGGCTTTGCCATTGTCTACTCTGTGGTAGAAGCCAGTCCCTGCAATATCTCCTAAATAATTCATGCACGCGCCCAAACCGCGGATGACTTCCCAAGTGCGGTCCGGAGAATATCGGGTAGCTACGAAGTGGGTGTCCAACAGAAGCAACGCTGCTTCCCCACTGCTGTTTTGACATGCTCTGGCACAACGTGTTTGGCTTCAGCAACCAACGTCCCCGCCTCGCCAGACATGAAACAAGGGAAAAATTGTCGGGGAGCTCCGTTTTGTTTAACATCTCAACCCTGTTGTCCGTGCTATTGAATACATCCCGTTTCTTCCTAAGCTTTTTGCCCAGGACATGCGAACGCCATGATCCTAAGGCTTTGACTGCATGTCCTCGTCGGGTGTGGAGTGCTCTGAGCGTGATGCCTCCAGGGGGCTTGTGTGCCCTGAGGGTCTCCCCGGGGGAACAATACAGCTTCGGCCGTCCACCCTCCAAGCTTCGCAATGAACATTTAACCGTCACCTAGTCATCAATGGTGCAGATATTCTGGGCAATCGCGACATACTCGTCAACAGCGTGTCTGACAATTATATTCAAAGGTAAAGCTTTTTCATAATGAGGGCCAACCCACATAGTGGAATGAGACTGCATCAGCACGTCCTTGGCAACCATTGTGAAGCCTCCATCCTTATCGGTGAAGACACGAACCCACGGGAGGCCACGAAATTGCCGAAATGCTAATCGAATGACTCCGTAAACGTTGGGATATATCGTTCGCCCCTGGCGCCGTTGAGGGTGAAGCTGAAGCGCCTGAAAATCTTGCATGTCCTTGCATGGGGTACCCAATCTAATTCAAGCTCAGGCGGTACAGGGTGAGGGGAAACTTTGACACTAGTGGTGGCTGGCCGAGCTCGGAACGAATAAGAAGAAATGCCCATATAAATCGAAAATGCCATCTCCACAAAATCTTTCGACGAATCTGTTCAATCATCCTAGATGCGTCTGCCAACAAAATTAGAATTATCGGTGAAAGCCGGTGCTTGCGGTGGAACCGCGGGAAGAGGAAGGTAACATCCCGAGGAACTTCGCCGAAGTTAGGGTGCCTGCAGGAAGTTGCTGGCGCACCGAACATATAGAGTTGCTCCCGATGCCTGTCGTCCAAGAGACACTCCAGATCACCATGCGGCATGCCCTCGACGAGCTTGATAAACATATGGTTCAATCGCCATTCCTCTAACCTCCTTTGTTCCCATTTCCTCCTCCTCCAAGTTGCCCTCCTTTGCCGCCGCATGTCTTGCCGCCGCGAGGGCGTACCAGAGTTTCGTCGCAGTTCCCGTCTATACCTTTGCCATTGTTGTCGTGCTTGCCCTTGCCTTTGTTTTTGCCTCTGGCTTGTTTTTCGGACTTGCCCTCGCCGCCCTTGTCACTCTTGGTGCCGTTGTTCTTCGTCGTTGCTGTGCCCCCAAGTCCCTTGCCAGGGCCTGAGGGCGGGCCATGTTTCGAACGTGGAGCTGTATTGCGGTCTTCCTTGCGTCGGGATTGTTGGGGTTTCGTGAACACACGTTTTGACTTGTTGCCAGATTGAATGGCTGAGCTGTCTGCCACGCGCTCCTCGGCACTCGAACCAACCTGGTACGAAGCCAAATCCACATGATAAGGCTTTCCGCTGACCGCCTGCTTCACGGCAGCTGGAAATCTCACGGACGGCGGGGCTGCCATCAAAGAGCTCATTCTCTCGTTCAGCGTCCGATTCGTTGCCTGCTCCTCCTCTTTGGCCTTGCATGCTCTGAAGCCAGTCGACAAATCATGGAACGATGCATCCCGATTGCCTCCTGTCGTGACAAAGAGACCTCGTCATCAAATAGGCCTGGGGGGCAAGGCAAATTCAGGAATATGCAACTCACCGATGGAGGCTGACCGAACAGATGCGGTCGCCGATGGCTCACTCTCGTTCCCGAACGCGTCGACTTGAGAGCCCAACAGTGTGAGATCCAGCCACTTGTTCCTCAACGCAACCAGGTCATGCATGAAGTGCTTCGCCTTCCTGATGGTGAGCTCCTGGCTGTTAGGGTCCCCGTGCAGGGCATGCAGATCCGTGGTGCCACGTCGTAGGGCACGGATGTCTGCCGCCATGGCCTCAGGAACAGGATTCTCCAGCTCAGGGACCTCGACCTGAGGCTTGAATTCCTTGACGTCTTTAGGCCACGAGTCGGACTTGATGGTGTCGACGTGGCCTTTCGCAGAGTCTCGTTTAGAGACCAGACTGTTGTACTGCTTGATCTTACGTAGTACCGCTCCGCCACGGCTTTCGCTTGTGCCTTGACCTCGGGAGGAATGGTGGCATTGTCCAGGACGTCTGCCATGTCCTTCTCCAGCTATCCACCCGGCGCGGATGGCTCCGCGCGCTCTCTCTGCCATCTCCCTGCCCCCTGCCCATCACGTGCCCCTTACATGGGCCACTGCTCACACGTTGTCGCCATCAACTTGTGCTGGGCATCGTTCGGACGTCCATTCCCTGTGTTTTTTCGGTTTCGTGCGTGTTTTTTTTCGCCAAATCATCAAGGATGCTCCTCGATGGCCCTCGCCGCAGGAAAAATGCACACGTCCGAGCGATGCCAAGTGTGCAACATACAAGTCCGCCTCCATCGCTGCGCCGATGGACCCGCCCGTGGGCACCTGCCCTGCCGCGCTCGCCAAGGCTGCGAAAACAAGCCGCGCGCCACTTGTGCCGCAAAGAACCGGAACCCTGACAGATAAGAAATAACGAGTCGGAACTTGTCATTCCACGGGCACCGGCCTCTCCAGAACTACTGGGAAGCAGCAGGGCACTCGCTGGGCAAGCCTGCTGGGCCTAGGGCGCAGTCAGCGCCACCGGAGCCCCGGAGCCACCGGGGGCGGGCCGCGAGGGCCAAGAGGCGCAGCCCTCCTCCTCCTCCTCCTCCTCCTCCTCCTCCTTCTCCTCCTCCTTCTGCTCCTCCTCCTTCTCCTCCTCCTCCTTCTCCCCCTCCCCCTCCTCTTCCTCCTCCGCCTCCTCCTTTTCATCCTCCTCTTCCTCCTCCCCTCCTCATCCTTCTCGTCCTCCTTCGCCTTCTCCTCGTCGTCCTCCTCCTCCTCCTTGTCCTCCTCTTCCTCCTCCTTCTCCTCCTCCTCCCCCCTCCTCCTCCTCCTCCTCCTCCTCCTCCTCCTTCTCCTCGTCCCCTCCTCCCCCTCCCCTTCCCCCTCCTCCTCCCTCTCCTCTTCCTCCTCCTTCTCCTCATCATCGTTATCATCCCCCTCCTTCTCCCCATCCTCCTCCTCCTCCACCTCCTCCTCCTTCTCCTCCGCTTCCTCGCCTCCTCCGCTCCTCTTCTCCTGTGCTCCTCTCCTCCTCTGCTCCTCCTTTTCCTCTGCTCCTCTACTCCGTGTCTCCTCTGCTCCCTGCTCCCTGCTCCCTGCTCCCACCCACCCACACCAACACACCCACCCAGCCACCCACCCAGCCACCCACCCACCCAGCCACCCGCACACCCACACATCCACACACAGACACAAACACAAACACACACACACACACGCACACACACACACTTACACACGAAAGCACTCTCTCTCACACACAGACAACACACACACACGCACACGCACACACACACCTACACACACGCACACACACACACACGCACACACACGCACACACACGCACACACGCACAAAAGCACACACGCACACACAGACACAGACACAGACACACATGCACCCGCACCCACACAAACACACACACACACTCTCTCTCTCACACACATGTACACAAAGCGCGAGCCGCAGCCGGCGCATCGTGCAGGCGGCGGCCATGGCCTGCCAGAACGCGCGACTCCTGCGCGCAGCTGGCAGCTGCCCGCACGCCCGCCGCTGGCGGGCGGGTTGGAAGGGGAACAAAGGTACATTTCTCTGGCTCTCAAGATCCCTCTTTGGGCCATAGAGGGCTCCTTTTCTGTATTGCCCCCCCCCCCAGGTATCGCCCCCCACACGACGCGACGCCTACATGGGGCTCGCCAGATGGGGCCCGAGGATCGCGCCTCGTCGCTGATGTACCGCCGATGCATCGCCGATGCGGCTCAAGGCGGCGCCCGATCCTCTCCACGCCGACGGCGCTGCTGCGTCGCTGGCGCCGCAGATGCATGGCCGATGCGTCGCCGACGCGGCGCGAGTCCCTGGCCCCACCTGCTCGGACCCCACTTGGAAAGCCTGCGGCCAGACACTTTTGCACACCACGTCGCCGCGGTGGCCCCAGCGACACGGTTTGCAGGCGGACAGCCTGTCGCTCCGCTCCGCGGGGCGGGAGGCCCGGGAGAGCTCGGGACGCCGGCGCTGGGCGGGCGGGCAACGGACAGCGCGTGTCGCACCCGAGCGTGGCAGGCCAGCACCGGCGGAGCCACACGCGACCAGAGAGCGTCCGACCGCAGAGCCTACGGAGACGACGTGCCCTGAGATCCGACGTTGCAAAACATTGCTGACATCGCAGAACCTTGGTGGTCTCCAAACCAGGTGGTGAGACACCCGGTGGTGACCCCGATCCCCCCAATCAAAACAATTCTGGGTCACCACCGGGTTTGGGGACACGCGGTCGCCACGAGGTTTTGCGTTTCCTGGGCCAGCCAGCGCTCGAAAACCATTACCCAAATCGCCCAAAACTCACCACAGGGTGTTCTCACCACCACGTTTGGGGACCACCAAAGAAAGTGACGACCAGAGCCCTGGACCCGATCTTTCGGCCCCAGGTTTCGAGCCGGGTCGATCCCTGAGGGCCCCGGGGCCCGAAGCGGAGCGAAGACGCCAGGCTCGAAAAAACGGCAACGCCAGGATCTCAAGGCAGATGGGCTCCAGTGGCGACCGCGTGGTGGGCCCGAGCGCCGGCGGGGCCCTCGCGAGCTCAGCGGCGGGCCCCGCCCTCGCGGCGCGCACGGCGGTGCGCGCGGAACTGCTTGTAGGCGCCGCGCACGAGGGCCCCGTTGAAGACGGCCAAGCCCAGGCACAGCAGCAGCAGGCCCCCGACCAAGCGTGGCGAGCAGGCCTCGGGCGGGCCCAAGAGCGGCAGCCCCAGCGGCAGGCAGAAGGCCAGCGACGTCACCGGCACGGTCAGCAGGTTCGCGAGCATGGTGGCCAGGGAGGAGAGCTGGCGGACGGCCCTGGTCCGGGCGCGGACGCACCAACGGCCTGGGTCAACCCGCGATGTGCGGCCCGCGGTCCTCGGCGCGCCCTCGCGCACCTGCCCTGGGGACGGGCGCCTCTTCGACCCGCTGCTCTTCGCGCCCCTGCAGGGGGGGGGCTAGACGACCGCCCCCTGGGGGGTTGGGGTCGACCTTCGGGGACCTCGGCGGGCGGAGGATGTGGACGTGCTCGGCCGCCGTGGGGCCCTAACACGTCCACGTCCAGGGCCCGCTGGGGGCCCAGGGCGTCGGCTCCGCAGGCGGCGGATGCAGGTCGAATCCCTGCCTCGCACCTGAGGGTGGCCAGGCGGTAGAGTATGTTGCCGACCCAATAGCAGACCTGGGGCAAAGGAACAAGAAGCTGCATGAGCATCACCGTTCGGAGGCCCGCGCGGCCTTGGTGAATCGGCGCTGGACCACCCTCGCTGGCGCGCGCGGAGCGCGCTTCAGGAGCCAAGCGCCGCCGGCGGGGGTTCCGCGCAGGTCCGGGAGAGCCGCGCGGACCTCAGAAAACTGTGCTCCTTGACATCCATCGAACTCCCTTGCAATCCGAGGCCCCAGAGGTCCCAACCACCTCTCTTATGATTGTCCGCCACCGCCGCGCCTGCAGCGGAATGTGTGTATGCGTGTGTGTGTGTGTGTGTGTGTGTGCGTGTGCGTGTGCGTGTGTGCTTGTGTGCGTGTGCTTTTGTGTGTGTGTGTGTGCGTGTGTGTGCGTGTGTGTGTGTGTGTGTGTGTGTGTGTGTGTGTGTGTGTGTGTGTGTGTGTGTTGTGTGTGTGTGTGTGTGTGTGTGTGTGTGTGTGTGTGTGTGTGTGTGTGTGTGTGTGTGTGTGTGTGTGTGTTGTGTGTGTGTGTGTGTGTGTGCGTGTGTGTGTGTGTGTGTGCGTGCGTGTGTGTGTGTGCGTGCGTGCGTGCGTGTGTGTGTGTGTGTGTGTGCGTGCGTGCGTGCGTGCGTGCGTGTGTGTGTGTGTGTGGGTGTAAGTGTGTATGCGTGTGCGTCGGGGGCGAGACGTTCAATGGATCTTCCTCCCCCCTCCCCGGCGTTCCCACCCCCGGGCGCTTGCCCGAGAGCGGTAGCACAATTGCGCGGCAGCGCCAATGACTTTATCTTCGCCCCGGATCAGCTCTTCAAAGCCCCATAGCCGAAGAACGCGCCCCGGAACTCGACACCGCTGAGCAACGGAGCAGGGATATCAAAGTCAGATCGTCGCAATGCAAGGCTTCTCTCCGAAGACCAGCAACCCTGGCATGAGCCCCGCCGCGCCGAAGAACGCTTCCCGCGCGGCCTGGAAGTACGCCCGCGGGGGCAGGTCGGTGAGCAGCACGAAGTTCGGGGAGCAGAAACAGCATCAATGGCACGCCACCGTGGGGAACCCGTCAGCGTGTTACATATTGAAGGACCACTTGGCCTTCGGCTCAAAACGAAGGGGTCGCGCGCTGTTGGGCTACCAGCGGCAGCGTGCCTCGGAGGCGGCCAGGGGGTCTGAACTGGTTGGGGTCCCCGAAAATCGACCACGGGGAAGGATGAGGCAAACTCCGCCGCTCCAAATAAGACGGCATATCCTCCCAAGAGCCATGTGGTGCAATGTTTCGCCCCCGTTACCTGTCTGACGGTCATAAAAAGAGCCCGAACACGGCCAAAGCTCCCCCCCACGAGGAGGAGAAGGAGGAGGAGGAGGAGGAGCAGGAGGAGGAGGAGGGGCAGGATGATGAGGAGGAGGAGGAGGAGGAGGAGGAGGAGGAGGAGGAGTGAGGGGAGGGGGAGGATGAGGAGGAGGAGAGGAGGAGGAGGAGAGGAGAGGAGGAGGAGGAGGAGAGGAGTAGGAGAGGAGGAGGAGGGGGGGAAGGGAGAGGAGGAGGAGGAAGAGGAGGAAGAGGACGAAGGCAGGAGGAGGCGGAAAGGGAGGAGGAGGACGAGAACAAAAAGGAGGAGGAGGAGGAGGAGGAGGGGGCAGGTGGATGGGGATGAGGATGAGTATGAGGATGATGAGGAGGAGGAAGAGCAGAAGGAGGAGGGGGAGGAAGAGAAGGAGGAGGAGAGGGAGGATGAGGAGGATGGAGGATGAGGGGGAAGAGAATGATGGAGGAGAGGAGGAGGAGGAGGAGGAGGAGGAGGAGGAGGAGGAGGAGGAAGAGGAGGACCAGCACGCAGATTGGGGTGAATTCCGATGTCTGCAAAGTTGCCTGCTGCACTACGCAGCGGAGCTCATTTCCTCAAACTCTCTCACAAGCTGGGGCAGCGGGATCGGAGGCTTCAATACACTGGGTGAGCTCGCGGAACCTGTCGGATGTCTCCCTTCCCCAGCCCGCTGTCGTTGCAATTGGTGTCACGCAGTAGGCGGGGAACAAAGATTATGAAGGCATCGGGTCCCCTCTGTAAGCGAGCCGCATTTCCAACACATCAGGATGCTCGAGGGTCTGCCATCGAAATGCCGAGACACATCGGCTTGCGGCCGCGAGGATTGGCCAGCAGCGCGCTATGATGGGCACGAAAACCAGGGCACTGCTTTTTCTTCGCGCCTTTGTAAGCCGAGGTCCGAGGCACACCTCAGTCTACAAGCAGCGCGAAGCCACCCGCTGCCCCCCTTGCGCCACTGATGCGCCCGCCTGGGGTTCACAAACTCGCCCCCGGGAACCGAAGGGGTCGGAGGAGGAGGGGTCGGAGGCGGAGGACCTTCCACTTCCCAGGAGGGCCGGGCTGCGGCCGCTCCTACTGGCGGGTTCAAACTCTCAGTTGGTTTCTCGAGGCCTCGCGATCCAGCCTTCGGGGCAACAGCAGGCCAGAGCTGCAAGGCCTCCGTTAAGTATCTCAGATACGTCTTGAGAAGGGCCGCCTGGACGGCAAGGGCCTCGAGCTCGTCTGAACTCAACTGGGGGGCCCTGGCAGCAGCTATCTTCGCAAGTCTACCAGCGGCGTCGTTGCCCTTGGGTCGTCGCCACTCTTCGCTGCCAGGGATCAGTGGCTCAATCTACACGTGCGCGCTTATTGTGTGGAGCCTGGGGCCAAGGAGGGCCTGGCTGGCCCCAGCGAGGACCTTGCAGGCCCCGTAGAAATCGGACCGAGAACACTTGCTTTTCTGGTGGACGTCTACGGCGCCCTTGTAGTCTACAAATATCCGGGCGTGGGTCCGCATTGGGAACAGCAGCAAGCACGGCGCAGTGCTCAGCAGCGGGGGTGATGGGGGGAATGAGGTTGCCCACGCACCCTGTCATATAAGCCGAGACGTCTCCGTGGCCATCTATGGCCACCATCGACCAGCCCGCCAAGTTACAACATGTCGCCCCTGGTTTAAAGCAGGGGCCGTCTGCGTAAATCTCGTTTTAAAACAAAAGCTCCCTGCGGCGAGGGGAAAGGGCCCCGACCCCAAAAGTCAGCAGATTCGTTGCCGAATCCAACAGGGGCCCCCGAATCGAATTCAAGTGAAAACTGAAAACCGAAAGCGACGACCAGGTCGGTTAGATTGCGCATAGTTTCAATCTCGTCCTTACGCGTTTTACAAACACACTTTTACAGTAGCATCGTCAATGTATCTAGCCGCCTTCATTGCATCCATTGTTGCATGTCATTACTATTGTTTGGCTGCAGTTTCGGCTCGAGAGGTTTGAGTGGCGGGCAGGCCCGCCTTTTTCTCGAGCCTTCGAGCACACCAGCCTTCAGGTGTTCGAGGCGCCCGCGCGCTCGCGGGCGATCGGGGCCCCGCTGGGGCCTGCAGCGCGGCCGCTGGCCCGTGCCCGCCGCAGCCCGCGGCGACACGGGCGTGGGCCACCCTGGGCGGCGGGCGCCGCCTCTGCCACGGGCGCGCCGCGCCACGTGGCCTCGCGGGGCCTGTCGGGTGGGCCCTGGCGCTGGCGATCGTGGCCAGCGAGTGGGAGGCGCTGCTGCCGGGCCTGTGGGAGGCCAGCGCTGAGGAGGGCGAGAGCGACAGCGAGCCGCTCTTCTCGGCGCCCGCGGGGCAGGACGGCGTGGAGGATCTGTTCAGGGGGAGTCGGCCCAGCTACATGGCGCCGTGGGCGCGCTGGAACCGCCTGTACCTGCTGTCGCAGTCGAAGCCGACGGGGGTGGTGCTCCTCCTGATCACCAAGGTCGGGGGGGCCAAGTCTACCTTGTGGACGGCGGTGGACCCGACGCAGCGGGTGGTGCTGGTGAATGTACGTGACAAGAAGTTCGCTCTCAGCAAGCCCAAGCAGGGGATTGTGTGGACGGAGCACCCTGGCCTCACCGAGAAGCAGCGGGATGCCGCGCTGATCGCCTCCGAGCGCCTCATAGCTCGCTCGGAGTTGAAGGAGGCTGAGGCGCGTACGGAGAAGGTGAAGCAGGCCCAGAAGAAGAAGAAGAAGTCGAGCTCCAAGACGGCGATGGCGAGCTGGATGTTCAAGGGGGTGAGCACGGCTGCTGTGGCCGGCTGGAGCTACCGCACCGCCGGTGCGTGGGGCTCGGCGGCTTTTCTTGGGTGGCGCGTGTGGCGCTACCTGGAGCTGGGGTCGTGGCTGAGCGGCGGCTACCACACCGTGAAGGCGGGCTTCCAGGCGTTCGAGGACCTGCAGTCCGTGACGGAGCTGGTCAACGACATGTACGAGAACGGGGACCTGGAGAAGATCGCCTGCACGGTCGGTGGGATCGCGGTGGCAGGGTACATGATCTGGATGTACTACGCCTACGGCAGCGAGGGTCGAGGTGACAGCTCGGACAGCGAGAGCGACAGACGACGGGACGGCCATCATCGGGGGACGAGATGTGAGCGACAGTGATGAGGAACCCGATGCGAAGGCCTTGTTCTCGGAGCTGGCGAGGGGTCAGGCGGAGCTGGCCTCAGCGGTGGTCGACCTGAAGGACCGGATGCGCGAGGAGGCCGAGGCTAGGGTGCCCACGCCGCACCCTGCTCAGGCGCCCGCACGCCAGGCCACACGCCGAGAGGAGTCCCCAGAGGGGGCTCGGACGCCTGCCGTGTCGGAGCCGAGTGGGGGCGACATCGACGCGTTCATTCGGAAGCTGAACGAGCACGAGGGGGTCGTGGCGAGGGACTCGGCGAAGGCGACGACGGGCTCGGCGACGCCTGTGAGCAGCAGTGGGAGCAGCGGCTCGTGGGAAAAGATTGGCGCCGAGCTCGACGATCCCATGAAGGACCAGATCGTGCAGCTGAAGTTGGAGTCGACCAACCCGAAGGACAGCCTCCTGACGGTGCTGCAGCAGTACCGGCCCGCGGTGGGCGGTCAGGTCGGCGGGGTCCGGACTCGGGTCGCGCCGACGGTGCTGGCGAAGCTCTACCGTGGAGGTAGGACGGCCCGCGTCGAGACGCAGGAGTGGCTTCGCAGCAAGGAGCTGCAGGGCGCGACGGTGGCGAACGAGGTGAACATGTTGGCCATGGTGCTGGACCGCATGATGACCTCGGGGGAGCACGACGCGCTGATCAATAGCCAGGCGTCCGAGCTGACCTGCTTGCGGCTCTACTCGATCTGGAAGGCCTACGAGCGGGTCCAGTGCAGGGCCGACTGGCAGAGGCCCAAGCAGCAGAACGGGGGCAAGTGGAAGTCCAAGGTCGACTGGAGTTTGGCGGAGGAGTACCTGAGGCTGGACGGAGATCGGGACAGCGAGAACCTGAAGGCCGATGAGGAGGTCCTGGAGAAGTTAAGGCGCCGCGCGACCCTCAACAAGCACCTGAGCGCAGGTGGCGGCGGGGCAGGCGGTGCCGACGGCGAATAGGTTGCGGCCGGTGCGATCGTGGTAACCACTGGCCAAGAGCGTGCTACAGGCACCGCACCACGCTGCTTGGGGGGGCCGGCGACCTCTCGCCGCCCGCCTCAGGCCGTCATCCTGATCGGGTTCCTCGGGTGCCTGCTGGGCTGGGTGTTCATCGAGCGTGTCTGGGAGGGCCTACCCGCCCAGGCGATTTTCGAGTCTGAAGAGGTTGGTGTCGACCTGTTCGAGGCTCCACTGCCGCAGGCAAGTCAACCAGTGCGTCGTGGTGCAGGTCACCAGGTGGGAGCTTTCCCAGGCGTCGTGAATGGATCCTCGAGAGCGCGATCCGCTGAGATCACTCCCCGACCTCCCCTTTCCACTGAGTACGAGGAGATCAAGTGCGGGTTTGAGTTCTGTCAGCCTGCGTGTTACGTGGAGGAGGGTGGGGAGGACGGTTTCGGCGATCAGGAGTATGGCTTCCGGCTGTGCGAGTGGCTGGCTTACCCCATCGCCACTGAAGACGGAGGAGGTGGCGAAGGAGAAGTGGACCGCGAGCAGCCCGCTCCAGAAGAG